ACGCTGAGATGCAGGTGATAGTGACACTGCCTGCAAACTCTGAACACAGCTGCTTTATGGGACCATGTAAACGAGGCCTGTTCCCAGAGCACCCACAGTGCAGTGGGACTGTGATGGACGTGAATTTCAAAGTCAGAGAACAAGAAAGGTTAAAAGATTTGCATTTGAGTTGTCCAAATTTCTCTACCTGTCCTATGACAGCAATAAAAAAATGACAACTTAGTTCTTTAAGTTTATTGATGGTGGCAAATTCTCCTATTCTCTACAGTCATCACACATCCCTGACGCAGCTGGGCAGCATCACCTACTCTCAGCAGACGCATCTCAGCCCAGCCCCAGCCGCTCCTCAAGGCCTGGCCCTCCATGGTTGTGCAGGATGAGCATGAGAGCTCCCCAGGAAACTCAACAGATCCCTTGAAGCAGCACCCCAGCAAATAACTCATTGCTGGCCCATATATAGATCCCCAAATTGTTGCTGGATGGTGCAAATCAGGAGAGGAGAGCTTTCTATAAGACCAGAGTGCACCCAGGTGAAGGAGCAGCCCTTGGGAGGCCAGAACACAGTGTCTTCATCTGCAGCACAGATGTGTTTACCCAGGCAGATCTGAAGCTGAGGACAGGCAGGCTGGTGCACGGAAGCCCAGATCTTGCCACAGCTGTGCCAAAGCCTGACTGACCTCACAGAAACAGGCTCTAACCTTCTCCTGCCAAAGAAGCAGGAGCACGAAGCAGTGCAGCCCTGCGCCCTGCAAAGGCCGGGGGCTGCAGCTCTGATCCTGCAGGAAGCAGCACCTGCACACATGGCCACATGCAATTCCACTCCTGAGCCTTTGGACAGCCTGGAACTTGACTGGGATCTTCTTTACTGGCAAACAGACATGGTCTGCATCAGCTTTGCATCTTTAATTTAGTATTTCACATCTTTCTTTGCCAAGCTTTGCAGCCATTTGAGACTATTCTTAGAATAGTTTTGCGTCTGGTGAAACAAGAGGTTTTTGCAAGCATGTTCTCCATTTGGCTTTTTTTTTTTTTAAATTAGCTCTTTTGGGAGGGATTTCTGTGTAGCTGCTCTTTAATGATACCGGATCACACCCACGATATTCCCTGTCTCACAGCGCTCTCTTACCAGCACGGTTCTGATCGAAGTCCCTCCCACCTCTCAGCACCAATGGCTCGCCTCTTCCCGGGCAGCTGCTGCCTGCTGGGATCGCAGACCCGGTCTGCATGGCACGCTGACACGAGACCCGGCGCGGGGCCCATTACAGACCGGCTTTCTGCCTCCGCAGCCTGTCCGCTCGCCCAGGTACATCCCTGGGACTGGTTTCGAAGAGCGCTCACTACAGCAGCCCTATTACTTGTTTTTTCCTGTTTACTCCTATTTACACTCGAACTTTCAAACCGCAGAGGCAGTTTTACACGCTGGCAGATTGAGATGAGCCAGGTGCGCTGACTCTGAGCGCCCCGGCCCTCGCTGTCCCCGGGCACGCGGTGGCGGGGCGGTGCGGCCCGCACTACGCGTCCTCGACCCGCGCGGTCGGCGCAGCAGTGTGGGGACCCGGTCGGTAGATGGCGCTGCACCGCAGGCGGAGCGCAGGAAGCTGACGCCGCGGTAGAGGCACCTAGCATGCAGTCCCACATGGTCTAGCGGTTAGGATTCCTGGTTTTCACCCAGGCGGCCCGGGTTCGACTCCCGGTGTGGGAAGGCGCAAGTGTTTTTTTATTTCAGCTCCTTTCTGAGTTTTCAATTGCGAGAGCTCTCAGCACCCACACGGCATCCTCGAACTACTTGAATTCCTGCTCCGGACCTCCCCGGTGCCTCCTTGCAGCGGCAACGGCACTGGTGCTCGTAGCACCGTCTCCATGTCTCTCACACTGACCTGTGCCACAAACAGTGCATCCTGCAGCGCCCAGTGCAGGAATGGCAGCAAGCCTCCCTTGCAGGCCCAGCCCGGCCCTTACCCATGAACGCTTTTGCTAAGAAATGTCTCAGTGAAAGGAGAAGCAGCCGAGTGACACCACTGCTGAGCCCAGCACCATGCAGCGTGATAAAATACATTCTGATTTGGAAGCCTATAGACCTGAGTTTGTAGCTCCCCCCCATTGGTTTAAGTATTTCCATTAGCTGTGGAAAAAAAAAAATAGAGTTTCAGAAGACAAAGTTTGTTTAAATCTTCTCTATAAACTGTTCCAGACTCATAAGAGAAAAAAATGCCCTAAGCCCAGTCACTAATGCTTGTCTGCTGCTGGCTTCAGTACGAAACCACTCAGTGCCACAGTGTACTGTACTGAGGAATTGGCTCAAACTTCCAGAATATTACTGAATTAAATGTAAATACGAATGTGCCATTTTGTGGTCTTCCAGGGGAAACAAAGCACTATTACTGAGACAATCAGGCTTCATCTCACAAGACACTCATACTTCTTCCATTAAACCATTTGCCCCCAAGGTGCTTGCAGACTCTATATGGCAGTCAGCAGTGGCTTGGGCCAAAAGCTGCAAGAGGAGGCCAGGTTACCAACAATCTTAGATGTACCTGGGTCTATGGCAGGCAAAAGGCTGTCAGATATGGGCATCCCTTAACCAGGGAAAGCTTCCTGCAGAAGGGTTCAGCAGTGACACCACCAGGTGTTGCTGGTCTTGAGCCTGAGGAATCCTGTCAGAGCCCTTAGCCAAAGGGAGGAACAGACACCATGAAGACACAGCCACTGTCAGTCATTACATCAGAAGAGCCAGACACAAAGGAACACTGGCAGCTTCAACTTCCTGCCCAACACATTTTGCTCTCTCCTACAATAAACAAGCCTAACACTACCCCCAACCATCATCCATTTCACCCAAGAAAGAAAGAACATTATTAACAAGGTAAGGCTTCCTCCTGTGCTCTCAGGCTGCAACAGACACAGCTCAGGATTTCCTATGCTGGACACAGCTTACATAGGCTGTGCGCTTTCCACAACAGTTACTGTTATGAGCTCCTCTGGTTTATAGAACATCCTTTGTGCAATTCTCACTTGCTACTGTCAGCCAAAACATGTTGCTTACACTGGGACTTGGATGTATAAGGATGTATAAGGATGGATTGGGATCTCAAGTAAGCATGAAGTTGTTTGATGTAACGAACTCAGGCAGATATTTGGATACTGATGTCTAATGGCTTACACAGAATATATTGTTTCTGGTAAACAACATAATTTGAAAGGAGAGGTGGGGGGAGGGACAGAGAGAAAGATGCAGTCACCACTCTTGGATCCAGCGATGCCAGAGTTGATCCTTGAGCAGTGCTGATGTCCCTCCTCTTCCTAAGGAGAAGCTGAGTCCTTCAGAACATTCCAGAAATGAGTCTAGGGTCTCAGATACTCATCAGCTGCCCTCTAACATTGTGATCAAGGTATGATCCTACTCTTGTGTAAGAGCAGTTCAAGATTTAGAAAATTCTGGAACTGGGTTGGAGGGGCTTCAGGGGGGCCTTACTCTGACCCTACCACAATGTGTGCAAGCATAGTTTGCGAGAACTTTTCCTCCCTAACTAAGTTTGCTTGCTGTAATTAAACAGGCCTGCACAGTATTCACAAGATAAGGAGACGGGTCTAGGCAAATACCTTGCCTTTGCAGTGATCCCTCCTTCAACTCATTACTGTGGTGATCTACACTTCTACCAAATGTTTGGAACAGTAACACTTCTTAGTCTCTTAAAGAACCTTGCTCAAAAAATGGAGTAACAAGGCTTTCCCACAGAAAATAGGCTCAAGCTGGACAAGACACCTGTGTGTGCCTGCAACTTTGCCAACAAAACTTCCCAGCTGGCAACACATGCATATTTTGTTGATTAAAAGATGCCAAAGCTACAGCACCGCTGAAGCTTTGCATCAGTCACTGTTCACAGCCTCTCTGGAAGCATACCTTGGATAGCTGACAAGATCTCCCAGATGCAGTATGGCCTAAAGTTGTCCTCTAACAGCCTGAGCTGGCTTTGCAGGTTCCCAGCTTCTGTTCCTCCTATCCTGGGTCCACTTTATCTTGTCCAGTTCCTTTTTATCTCTCTAAAGTTAAGCTTTTCCGTTTCTTTAGGTAAAAGGCCCCAGATGACAAAGGACTGCAAGAGGACCTTTCTCACTTAGAGCTTAACATCAGCACTGTAACTACCCAGGAATACTTTGTAGGGATAATCACATAGATGCTTCAGCATAAAAAAAAGCAAAGACTCTGAGCCCGCAGCCACCAGCACAAGGCCAATGTGCACACTGTGGAAAAAGAATAGAACACCTTACACAAAAGGCACTTTTTACCCTTCTGAGCTGCCATCCGGGGTGCAGGAAAGCAGTGAGCACACCCACTTAAAAGAAAACAAACAACACTGTGAAAACAATTAAGTGAGCAGGGACTGTTTGGGCCGCTGAAGCTCAAGGGTGGTCACAGGCAACCCAAAAGACAGCTCACAAGAGATCAGATAGGGCCCTTCCTGCAAACACGCTACAAGCAACCTCAAGGCCCAGTAACTAAGAAAGGACACAAAACCACAGCAACCACCATCAACTCCCCCAGGAAGCCACACAAGAAGATGGCGGCGCTGAATTTAAATCCCCACGGGTCACCTTTGACCTCCCGCGGCGGGTGCGCGCACTCTCGCGAGAGCACATAGGAGCAGAGATGGTGGTCTTGCAGCCCTTACCGAGTCTCGCGAGCGTTTGAGAGCCGGTTTCCGGCCGCACTGTCTCGCGAGAGGTGGCTGGCGCGGGGCCGGGCTCTGTGTCTCGCGAGAGCCCCTGCGACGGGTACTGGGCGCCCCCGTGCCGTGTGCGGAGCCTGCGAGCAGCGAGACGCGGCGGGCGCCATTTCGGGGAGCAGCCGCCGCGGCCAGAGCCGGGGCCCAACCCGGGTCCGGGGACCGCTCGTCACGATCGTGCTGTTCTTTGCCGCCTGCCGCCTCCGCGGCCGGCCGAGCGGCGCCGTCCGTCCGCCTTTTGACCGCTCGGAGGGGCCTGCCGAGCCCTCGTGCCCATCCCCCACCGTCAACGCAGCCAGCGCCGGAGCCCGGAGCTTTCGCTGCCGTCGCCAGGCCTTGGACACCCGAACGAGGACAGCGGCTGCCCGCGGCGCAGGTAACTGCCGGGCCGGCGCCGGGTCGCGTACCGGGTGAGCCGCGGCCCGGCCCGCGGGGCGACGAGGCCCGCGTCTCCTGCCGCCGCGGCTTCCTCGCTCCGGTAGGGCCGCCCCGTGCCGCGCTCTCGGGCCCTGCCGCCGGTTTCCCTGCGGCGTCCGGCCCGCGTTCTTTCGGCACAGGCTGGCGGAGCTCGGCCCGCTCCCCGTCTCGCGGCCCGGCCGTGCGGCCTCGGCTGCCCCCGCGGCCACGTAGCGGGCGGGTCCGGCTGTCCCCGTCGCCGCCTTGTCCCTCCCCGAGTCCCCCCACGATGGCGCTGTGCGACCCGGCCGTGCCACCCGTGGGGAGCGGCCCTCGGGCCGTCGAGGCGCGGGGCCGGGAGCTGAGCGCGGCCCTGAGGCCCGGATGGCTGCGGAGCGGGACCTCGGCTCGGGGGGGGGGGGGGCGGGGCGGGGCTCGGCCTTGTGGCGGCGTCGCTGAGAACCGAATTCGATTTCCTTCCTCTTTGGCTGCGCACGGAGCGCTGGGAGTGCCGGGATGCGAATGTGGGCGGCAGGGGCGCCGTGCGGCCAAAGCTGTGCTCTCAGTCCGGTTGGTGAAGCTCTCCGTAACGGTTCTCCGTGCCTCTTGTTAGCAAAACGCGGACCGAATTGGTATTTTAAACTTCTTGTTACTTACGGTGGTAAAGAGGGATGGATTTACGTTGTGAAATACTGATGAAGTCAGCAGTAGTAAATCTTACTTTCTTTTAGGCTTCTTGTTGACTGTGGAAGTCTCAAGTATAACTCATTCCTATTTTTTTCTTTCTCCAATGATTTCAAGCATACAAAGCTTTTATTTTCCTTTAGAAAAAAAACCAAACAAAGCAAAAACAACGAAGCCTTTTATAAGTAGCCTTTTACGTTTTTTTGGTATTTAATGAAGAATATTTGGAAATCTGTTATGATTTTATACTCATTTAAAATTTATGGATTCTTATCTGTGATTTTTTACTAGCAAAATAGCTATGTGTGTTTTGGTTTCTGGCTGGAATTGTGTAGTCAGTGGGCCTGTGTGTTAGAGATGGAGCAGGTACTTTGTTGGAAGCATTCTGTGACACCAGTATTGCACTGCTTACGAATTGTACAATTGCACGGGCTGAGGCCAAAGGTCTCCATAACCTCATGCACTGCCTGTGGCTCTGCCTGACAGCACACAGCCCAGAACAAGTGGGAATGGAGGGCTGTGGTGGAGCAACACTTCCCTCTGTGTCCTCTGCTGGTTGTGGCGCAGGGTCACGAGGGGTGTCTTTGTTTAATGAAAAGTCTTTTCTATAAACTTTTTGTTTGAACGCAGCATGTGGCTTTTTCTTTGTTTGGAACAGTAAGTCCTGTGGCCGAATGCTTTGTGATAAGGCTTTTTTCTTTTTCTTTTTTTTTAACCCTCCATAAGATGGTTGTTGCTTTTACACCTATTTGTGTGGGCGCAGCACTCGGCATTCCTGAGGTGCTCGTCCACGGGGCTCGTAGTTGGGCTGTCCCTGTTCTGGCCCTGACCTCCCTTGGCCATTCCTCTTCAAGTGTGAAGAATCCTGCCCAGCCGTATGTGGATGTGTTCTGTTGGCTAAGTGCACAGGCAAAAAAGCCTTCGTGGGTGGAAGTTGCCACTCATGGAATTGTTTTGTGTTGAAACCACATTTTGACCCGGTGCTTTTTAGTGGTGCTTAATCATACTGCTCTTCTTAGTGGTAGCTCCTGTTAGCAGAGCAGCAGCCAGTTGAATTATGTGTATGGACTTGAAAAACTGCCTGTCAGTGCTCTGAGAAAAAGTATAGTAGCCATTAGGTAGAAACTAAGGGTGGCTGTGTTGGTGGTAACACTAGCCTCAGAGGTAGTAACTTTGGCAATGAGGTTAGTGTGCCTTGATGGTAAGCCATTGAACGTGAACTTCCAGCGCTCCCATACTGGCAAAGGTTTCTTCTGTTTGTTGCGTACTAATGGGGAAGAGAGACTTGGTTCTTAGAGGTGGTGAAGCTCTGGTACAGTAATCTCAGTTAAGAGGTTATGGGTGAACAGTTAAAGAATTTTGTAAATTTGGAATTATTTAATTATGCTGGAAAGTGCAGTTCTTGTACAGCAGTACCTGCAACCATGGTGCAAGAACTGTCATGGTTTAAAGAAATTCATGGCACGTGTGGAGGAAAGTTCTCCATCTATGTCTCATGTCTAGAGGCCTTGCTTTTCAGTTCTAAAAAAGAAAACAAAAATCCTCTTTTATTGATAGTTTTTAGGAAGTTGAGTCTCCGTTCAACACTGCAGAGTTTTGAAATGTTCTTGATAGTGGACTTGCATAGGAGAAGGGAATCAAATGTCATGAGGATTTGGACTATAATAAACACAAAATGACACGGGGAGGTTGAAGTCAAAAACTGGTATTGCATGGTGTGATATGGCTGCTTTTTCTTTTCTTTCCTGAGACTTGAAAGTCTGGACTAAATGGATCAGGTGTGTGCTTTTCTTGGAGCTTGAATCATAAGCTTCTTCCGTGGCCTGTGCTGTGCAGGAAGTCACGTTTCTTAAAGGCAGTCCAAGTCATCAGGGTAATAAATGGGATGGTGGCAAGTGCAGGGAGTGTGCGGGTGGGTTTGCCTGAACGTGTGGTCTGTAGGCAGCTCAGGTAATCCTGTGGTCAAGCTCTGATATTTCCTAAGATGGCCACTAGACCTGTGTTGCTGCATCACAGTGAGCTGTGTTCTTTGTTGAGAAATAGCTGGGAGTACCTCAGGGCTTTCTGCCTGCTAATTGTCTGATAGCACAGAATCGCAGAGCGGCCAGGGTTGGAAGGGACCTCAAGGATCACGAATCCCCAGCCCTGTGCCGCAGGCAGGGCCACCAACCTCCCCATTTCATACCAGACCAGGCTGCCCAGGGCCCCACGCATCTGTGTTGTTCTCAGCTGTGGTTGGTTGCTGCTTGATGTCACATTCTTTACCAGCTCACTGGGCGAGCTTCATTCCAGGCTTGTTGGAAATAGCTGCCGAGAGGCTGACGTGTGAACTGTGCTGTTGCAGTAACGACTCTTAAGAGCTCGACACTGGGGTTCTCCCTCTCAGCTGCATTGTTTTTTTTCTTTCAGGTGTCCTGAAAAAATGGCTGATGATATTGATATAGAAGCAATGCTTGAAGCTCCTTACAAGAAGGTGAGAAAAACGTGCCAGTGAGGTCCTGTTTACCTTAATTTAGCATTATTCATGAAACTACTGCTGAACTGTAAACTAACATCCCTGGAGCCCTCATGATTTGTCTTATTGGAGATGCATTACATGTAACTTGCAAGTAAATATGTGCTGTTAATGTAATTATATTGTGCAGTAGTTTCACTTCAGCGTGATGAATAAATGCCCATCTATCTCTCTTTGTAGACTTGCCTAACGATATCTCACCTCTACTCCCATGAATTCACCTTTGATTCCAGTGTGAACTGTCAATCATAAGGTAGTAATTGAGTGACGTATCGCTGTACCGTGGTCCCCTAGGTTAAAAAAAAGAAAGAAAAAAAAGAAAAAAAGAAAAAAATAAAAACAAGAAACAAAAACAACCAACCAAAAAAAAAAAAAATTACCCCCCAAAACAAGAAATCTCTCCTAAAATTGCCAGGTCCAGTTTGGTATAGCAACAAGGTGAATGCAGTGGTTTGGGAAAACAGCAGGGTTCCAAGAATAACCTTTTCACCAGTCCCATGGCAAGTAAATATTTGAACAGTCTGCTGAGGGCAAGAAGTGAGACTTGCTCTTATTGCAGAAGGCTGGTGGTGGTTAATCTTTTAACAGAGCAGGTGGAAATCAATTGCTGAGTGAACGAATTTACCTAAATTCTTGGATCCCTGAACAGCCCGTTCTTAGCAAGTAAAAGACAGTATCACAGTCTGCACTGTCATTCCAGACAATCTCCTGTATCCTCTGTCCTAGTTGTTCAATTAAGAAGTGTCAATTCTGATGCAAAATTCTTACCGATGAGTGTAGCGATGTCTTTTGCCTAAACCAGCAGCCAATGAATACTGTCTTTTTTGTTTTTCACCAAGTGGTGGTGAAGTGTTAACATCGTGCATGCTTTAGCACTGGTTTCTCAAGTAACGTGTATCAAACTTGAGGCGTTTAGGAATTGTACTTCTGATGTAACCCATGTGATTAAATTGTAAAGCGAGTATATAAATTATACAGCAGCTATTGTTAGTCTGTTCTGCAGTGTTAATTACAACCGTGTCATGAATTTTGAATGAGCACTGTAAGTTTTAAATTGTGTATTTAGTTCATGTAATATTTAGTAGTTATATAAAGTCTTGAAGAGAAAATTGTGAATTGTTATGTTGAAATTCTTGTGGTTTCCTGGTTTAACATGGATATTTTCCATGTAAACAGGTATGGAAATAGGGAATGTTTAGGCTGGACTGGTGGATTATTGATGACTTTCTTGGGAGTCGACGTTACTAAAGCAGTGTGAATCCCTGTTTGCTTCAGGGCGAGATGTGTGACAGAGGTGGCATCAAGCTCTTACAACCCTTCAACGAAAATGAGCGAAGATCTCGGGAATGGCATCGGTCACAGGAATGGATAGTGGCTGGCTGCTAGCGCGGCCACTGGGGTTAGGCAGAGCTGTAGCCTTGGTGCTGGTCTGAGGGGCACACAAACCTGAAGCTTCCTCTTACATTTTATAGAAATAACATTTAACCACTTGAGTGCTGAATTCTACAGGATAACTTGCTCTCTAAACCATGTAAGGAAGTATCTACAATTTAATACACGCTTTTAAACGATGTAAGTTTTGTATTTCGTAGTTGTATGACTTAAATTTAAGCAGCAAAGTGGTTAAACATGCCTACTTAAATTATCTAAAGCTTTCCGTGTTAAACTCTAAACAAGTAATTTAGTATTAAAATTTTTGTTTTGTATTTTCTTATTCCTATTCCCATTACCCTTTGACCACTTGAAATGTTTCCGCTTCGTCCTCACGATGTTCTTCTATCAACCCTGCTTAGGATGAGAACAAATTGAGCAGTGCCAACGGCCACGAGGAGCGCAGCAAGAAGTGAGTGCCCTCGTGCTGTGGGAGGGGCGGGGGCTGGTGGAGCTGTGGGATGCGCCGTGCACATCACTGGTGCTAAAGGAAGTGAGCTGGGAAGGCTTGGCATTGGCAGCAGGGGGAATTATGAAGTTTTCTTTTGTGTGGATGTAGTTACATCCTTGTGATACCACCAAATTCGTGGATACGTGTATTGTTTTAGCAGCAGATAAAAATACAGACTTGGGCGGTTCAGCACAATTCATCTCCTATATTTTTTTGTATCTTTAGCTGTGCATTTAAGTCTTTTGTGTGAAATTTTAAGCAGTTTAGAGCAGTGCAGACAGAAGATCGAATTGCTTTCTTGAAAAGGTTCCATATTGGGTTCCACATCAACTTCCCTCCCCTTTTCCGTCCCAACATTTTCATTGCTACTCATATTCTCAACTGAGTATTGAGTCTTTCTTTGACTTTTTTGTACAACAGCTGTTTTAAGCAACTTCTAAAATTACATGAAAACTTTCAGAAACAGATTGCAAGCATGCTTTCTTCAGGAAGCATTGCTGAAGTTCTTACCTAATCACTGCCTTACTTTAAGGTTCTGTATATCATCACATTTTGTAAACGTAGTTCTCATAATAAATACGCCTATATTTCAAGGCCATAATATGGACTTGAAACCCCATCAAAATCAGCTGATCATAATATTTGAAGTTCTGAAGCTTTATTTATGTTTTTTTAAAGCATATATAAAACTCTTGCTTCTGTTTCAGTGGCCAGCTCCCAAATTAAAACTGAGGTAGGAAGAAGGATAATGCTTCCTGAATTTCAGAAGTGGTTCAGACCTCTCATTTCAGTTTCAGTCGAAATACTCAGGTGTTCATATATGTTAGCATGGCCTGCTGCTGTTGTGGAGGAGGACCTGGGGGTCCTGCTGGGTGAAAAGCTGGGCATGAGCCAGCAGTGCCCCGAGCTGCACTCAGGAGCAGCAGGGTGAGGGGGGGTTGTCCTGCTCTGCTCTGCCCTTATGAGGCCCCACTTGCACTACTGTGTCCAGGTCTGAGATGTCATCGACTTGTTGGTTTGCCCCTAATGTACAAGAACCATGGATGTAGAAAAGCAAATGGCTCAGCAAGGAGAGGAGTAGCAGCTTGATTTTGAAAGAGGAAGCAAAGCTCTTAGTGTTAAAGGTGGTGACAGACAGCGTCAGGAGAAAAGTCTTTCTTTTCCTCAAACTTTGCTATCCTATGGTTGTGATGTTGGGTATTTTATTCCCCAGTCCTGTTCCTCTAACTGAGAACATGCTTTGGTGTCACAGAATTAGATTGGAAAGAAGTGCTGCAGAGCACTTGATCTTGTTCATTATGGATTTTAAGATTCCTGATGTTTATCCACCCCTTCTACAAAAGTCCTTGTACACATAGCAGGATGTAGCAACTTTTCACGTTAACGTTCGTGGCATTAAGTTAGAGGAGCTGTGGAATGTGGATAAATAACAGGAGGGGTGACCCAGAGCTGCGCGTGTAACCGAAGGTGTGTTGTTTTTTAATCTTCTCAGGAGAAAAAAGAGCAAGAGCCGAAGTCGAAGCCATGACAGAAAGAGGAGCAGAAGCAAGGAGCGCAAACGGAGCCGGGACCGGGAAAGAAAAAAGAGCAGGAGCCGGGAAAGGAAGCGGAGCCGAAGCAAGGAGCGCAGGCGCAGCCGTTCCAGGAGCAGGGATCGCAGATTCAGAGGCCGCTACAGGAGTCCCTAGTAGGTCATCAGCACACGGTGCTTGCGTGCTCCCGCAGCGTGTGATGTGAGAGCTTGAAGTTTGCCTGCCTTCTTTCTGCACTGCTTGTTAATCATCTCAGAAAAGGGACTGCGAGGTTCAGACTGAAGGTGGTGTCAATAAGTATGGATTAAAAAGAGGACGGTGGTAACATACTGTGTTCCTCTTGCTAGTGTTCCCTCTTATCACGATGTAAAGAAGCAAAAACAAGTGAAAGAATGCGTAAAACTAACTGGGAAACAAATGCAAAAATGAAGTTTTATTTCAGACCTAAACTGCAGAACAAGTTTCTTACATCCTAAATGCTTCAGTACATATTGGAAGGATTAACTGTTTAAAAAAAAAAAAAAGACTTGTGTTTCAGGCTCATAAAACCCTTTGCTTTTTTAACTGAAATTTCTTACTGGATTGTTCCTCTTTATATGTTTACTGCAGGGCTGTTTTATGCATCCAAACTTAGAAATGTTTTGTCTAGTAGTGTCCATGTGCTGTATGCTTGCCTTGCCTTTTCTCAGACTTAGTTGGAGGTGTGGAAGTATTCTTCAGAGCCTCTGTTCTTTGGCTTGATGAGACTTCTGCTGTAGGTGGTTTGTGGCGGTTGGCTTTGGCTTCTCAGATGCTGTTTTTTTCACTGGTGGTATTTGCTTAAGGTTTCTGCTGTTGTATATTCCTGCCCTGCTCTATGCTCCTCCCATCACCTCTTTTAGTCCTCAGTGAAGCAGACAAGCAGTGAGAACTGGGCTGCATGCTTGGCTTTTCTCAGCTACCTGCAGGTGCTGCTTGTGCAGGCTTTGGTCCGGGTTTCATCCCAGCAGTTGCCAAACCCTGGAATGCAAGGTAACGTCAGAAGCAGGCACTAGGAGAAGATGTTTGTTGTTTTTTTTCCTTCTTTTTGCAACAAGTGATGTCACTTTCTTTGGAGAGATCCATCAAGATTTTTGCAAAAGTGCCTTTTCCTTTTTGATATTCTGTAAGCTTGTACAGTTCTCTGCAAACTGGATTTTTTATCCTAGGTGGCTGGGTCCTTCTGCAAGGAGTGCATTCCTTTGGGTGCTCTTGGAGTGCAGGCAGAAATGCTGGAGGTCAGGTCTCATTTTGCACGAAGCCCCCTTGATGTTGGCAGTCTTCATGCTGCAGATGTGGTGCATCTCTGGGGTGTGCCCGGCATTCCCTGTTTTTTTAGCCCTTTGTACTCAGAGGTCACAGCATAGCAGCCTTGCTTTTGCTTTATCTCTTTTATATGGCTTTTTGCAGGCTTTGTAAACCTGGTCAGGGCTTCAGCTCTGAAGATTGCAACAGTGCACAGCTGGTTTGTTTTCTACAGCTCTTTGGCACCTGTACGATCACAGGAGCTGCCTGGAATTTGTCAGTGCCACTGTTGCTGCTCCAGATTGCCTCTAAATGCGGGAGTCCTAATCAAGATCTTCTGCCTTTCAGAGGTAGAACTTGCTGGCGCCTCTCTTTGTGGTGCTGTTGCTCATGTAATCAGCTGGGAGTTCCTACATCCTCTTGTTTGTGTGGGAGGCTTTTGCTCTTTGTTTTTTCCTGTTGTTACTGAGTGAGATAGTTTTCTGCCTGCAGACATCTGGGAGCCTTAGCATCCTGGTCTTCTGAAATGCTCTCCTCGGGCAGAGGTTGAAATGCATGTTACTGCACTAACGTGTGCCAACTTTCACGTGTCCACATGTGTTGTACCCACGTCTCTGCAGCATTGGTGCTGACTGAAGTGGACAGCAGTTAGCTGTAGTTTGCTTGTAGGTTGTGGATGATGAAAGAAAAGCCTCCTTTGTTGTCTGGAATGAGCAGAGCTGGTTATCTTAAAGATGAGTTTCTGCGTTCAAGATCTTAGTAGCAGGCAAGTCATTAGTTCTGGAGATAAAGCCTCCTGCATCATCAGCCTCCTTTCCTTGTATGCATTTGGATCTACAAAAAATAATGCTACCATACGATGACAAACTCTTTATTTGCAGTGCCATCAGCTTCACATTTCCTGAGTAACAAACAATGCTTAATGAGATTGAGGTACATCAGCTGCTGCGTGGAGAATTTGGATCTGGAATCTCACTTTGTGGGGCTGCTCAGGCAGTTCTGAGTTGGCGTTACTGCAGGCTGTGTTGCACTCAACTGCTGCATCTAATTCAGAATGGTTCCTGTTTGTATCGTTTTCCACTCTTCATTCTCTTTAAATGACTTTTAAATTGAGATATGTCTGCTGCTGGTGGGCATGCAGAAGCATCTGCAGTACTGGAGAGAGGTTGTCTGTGTGGTGTAGATAATTCTGAAGGAAAAGGATGGGCAGTATGAAATTCTCAGTCTTCAAGTTTTGTCTTCAAACATGAGGTAGTCTCTACATGTGGCAGTTTTTAAAAGTTGAATGCTTGGCTTTCATTGCTGAGTGTCTGTGGAGCTTTCTCTGTGTTCTTTTCACTTATCTTGCCACTTAAATATTTTAAAGCTTTATAAGACTTGTGAAAAGAAGTTACCAGGTGTGCCTGCTTAGACATCAGCTGCTCCTAATGAACTCCCTTAGACTAGAACGAGAAATAAGTCTATTCTGGAGCTAAGAACTTAGACAAAGCTATGGGAAAAACAGAGTCCTGACACACACTGATGTTCATTGACTCTCTTGGCCTTTCTTGGCCAAAACCTGCTTCATCTGAGAGGCTTTTCTTGAACTCTTGGCTTCAACTGATGTGAAAGCTTTTTTTTTTTTTTTTTCAGGCTGACTTCTGTCCTTGTTCTGGACTGTGTGGCGTCGTGTAGGTTTAGGCAGCTGTGTGCATTGCTGTATGTGGGGCTCATTGACCTCCAGGCATACAGATAATTGCTTGTCTCAGCTCTTCCATGCACGAGAGCAGGAACTGGACAGAACTGCAAAAGAGCTTTTAGAACGGCAGATGAAAAAAGAAGAAAATTCCTTTGATCGGTAGCTTTACGAGTAGATCTCAGTAAAAAAATCCAAATAAATGCAGCCCACGGATTGCTGTTGAAAAAGATCTGCAGGAGTTCCCTCAAGCTGCCACCTTGCCTCATTCTGCTTCTGAGACTCACTGTTATGTCTTCACTTTGTCTTTTTTTAATAATTAATTCCTTTGTTTCTTACATCTTACTCTGCTTGTTTGTTGAGGGTGAAAATGAGCAAGAGATTCTTGCTCTTGTTTGAAAAAAAAAAAAAAAAAATTTGTTTTTTTAATTTTCTCAGCATTTGAAAACTCACTTTACCTTCTCAGTTTTTTGCTGTTTTTTTTTTTCCCTTTTTAACTAGTTTTCAGCAAAGATACAGTAAGAAAACACTTTGTGTTTCCCTGAAAGCTTGTGATCTTAGTCACTGGCAGTTATTTAGTTGGTCTGTGTGTTAATAGTCTGAATATTGGGGTCACTGTAGTTAGTGCTGCATATGAATTGAAACAGATACCATAGTGTTCTGCAGCAGCGTGTGTGAAGATGCAGGGTAATCCCCTCTGATGAGATGCCAGCTTCTGAAAGCAGTTCTGGCATTTCCAGTGCACTTTTTGGCAGTATATTTTGGGGGTGTTGGAGAACTTGGATGGGCGTTCTCAGCAGCTCACCCAACTGGAGTAGGAAATGCTATATTTTATCCTAGCTTGTTTTTCAGTGGGTATTTTTATCCAGAGTAACCTCAACACATTGCATATTATGTACCTGTTTTTAATGTGTTATTTTGTCTTAACAAATAGTTTCTAAGTCATCTGATTTATTTCTTTATTCCAGTGGTGCTCAGGGCCATTTTTCCCTTCCTTAAACCTGGCCAGCATGGCTCTGGATCTTAGCCCTGTCCTTCCACCTGTTACTGTGTCGTGGTGTGTTTAGAGGGGGCATCCTCCTCCTTGTTGTCAATGCTGAGCTTAACTATCAGCACTGCTGCTTTCCTGAGTAGCAAGACAACGTGGCTGGCTGCATGGACTTAGTGGAAGATTATGTGATATCTTCAGACTGCTGTATTTTTCAGGGTGTCTTCACATCAATTTATATCCACAGCAGAAAGAAACAGTTCTGTGCGAAGGGGCAGAGTCCTCTGCGTTCAGTCTGTCGTGTTGTCTCTGACATTCAGTGGATGTGGAGGAGGAGGGTTAACAGGTGGCATTCTTTGCCTTGTACCTAGAAGGAGATGAAGTTCAGGGAGAGCACAGTAGTAGGAATTTACTGTTCACAGCACAGTCTGTTACTCTGCCACAGGAACTCGCAAGAGGGCTGCCTTGCTGTGGGCAGATTGCCATTGGTTGTAACTGCTTCTGTGAAGCCTGCAGAACTAAAATTAGATTCAGCCAAGGGATGGTGGCGTATCTATATAAGGTTAACTACTGCTTAAATGGTTCTGTGTTTTGATGTCCATTCAGAACTGAAAGGAAGCTTTAGTTACATCTCTGTAGTGAATGCAGCAGAGGCAGCACTAGCAGTGCCCAGGATGTTTCCTTTGCAGATATCCGTGGGGAGCTGCTTCACTTTCCACTTGCATCTTCAGTCTCATCTCGGTTTTGGTTTTAAGATGCCATACCGGAGTCCTGCCTGCACCTGTCAGTGAGGTGTGTGTGTGGGCAGGTGTATCAGTAAGGTGGGGACAGCAGCCCTCGCTCACAGTGCCTGTGCACATGTGTGCCACAGCTCTGGCTTCCCTTCTTCTCGGGGTCCTGTGCGTGCTGAGGTGTGCTGAGGTGTGCTGAGGTGTGCTGAGGTGTGCTGA